TAACGCTTTGACGGCAGAGCAACAACAACAACCTCGGTCTTCCAGCCCCCAGAATGGCGGCCCGAGTCGAGGGCCTCCCTTGCGGGCTAGTCGAGTGAATTTGTTGTTTCCGTTGTGGTTGCATCGGCCAGACCACATGAGGTTGTGGAAAGCAGTGGAGGAGCTAGATCTGGGCGGCTATGGCCAAGGGCGTTCGCGCTCCCTGAGGTTGCCTCCGTCCTTGAAGAAGCTCAAAGTGGATATGGAGCTTTCTGGGCCGTTTCCGGAGTGGCTGTGGCCGGCTTCCCTTCAACAACTTGAGCTTGTCCGCTTTGGCCGTTCGATCATTGGTGCCGCCTGGCCTCCTGCCCTCCGGCAGCTATCGCTAGGGGATCGTTTCAATCAACCTGTCGCCGGTGTGACGTGGCCGGCGTCTCTGCAACAGCTTTCGTTCGGATATTGGTTCACCAAGCCTATCGCCTGTGAAGTGTGGCCGGCGTCTCTGCAACAACTTTCGCCCGGACGCTGCTTCAACCAGCCCATTGATGACGTGGTGTGGCCGACCACTCTGCTCTCATTGGACTCCGGATTCGACTTCAATCAACCTATTGTCAGTGTGGTGTGGCCGGTATCTCTACAAAGGTTTTCGTTCGGACATTCCTACAATCAGCCCATTGTCGACGTGGTGTGGCCGACCTCCCTGCTGAAAATGGACCTCGGGCTCGCCTTTAGCCAACGTATTGCCGGAGTGACTTGGCCGGCGTCGCTGCAACAACTCAAGTCTGGGAAGAGATTCAATCAGCACGTTGCCGGAACAGTATGGCCGGCTTCCCTGCGACGCCTGGAGTTTGGTGAACTCTTCAACCAACCCATAGCCGACGTCTGCGCATGGCCGCTACGCCTTCAGCACAGACAGTTAGGGACTGGTTTCGACCATCCGATGTCAGGAGTCCTTTGGCCAGCTTCCCTCGTTCGCGTGAAGCGTGGGAACACTGTGTGGAATGACAAGCGCCGGGACAGCGTCTTGATTTGCATGATACCCCCTCCCGAGCAGGGTGCTCGCCGCAGAACGTAGGAGTCGTCATTGGCGTTATACGATGAAGAAGGCATTGTTTTCGTGCGCCTTGGCCATAAGGATGATGTTGTGGACGACACAGGACCACAGGACTGGAGATGTTGTGAGATGCGTTGCTTACTTGTGTTTTGTTTTCATGTAAGGTACGGTAGAGGTTAGGGTTTTTCCGTTCGGCCCTGGTGCTAGCTTTTCCTACTTCACTGTTGGCTTCTTCGATGATGTGCCAAAGGAAACTGGCCATCCTGCGCCAAGTAGGCGGATTAGGGTCTCATAGGCTTCGAGAACCTTCGTGTCGGTAGGTGTATTTCGAAAAGTTGTATTGGTTGCGCTTGTTTACCTCTTTCTGTCGTCGGGCACAGACAGTACACGGAAACGTTTCGTTATTCTGTGCTCCGGATGGTAGCCTCCATTGTCGTTTGGACGTTCACGCTTACCGCATCGATGGGCAGCAACACCATTCATGACGTACAATCTTTGAAGAACCAAGAGTGTTGTCGATCACCTCACTCAGGCAGGCCATTCCTGGCAAGTTGTGTTGTAGCCTAGGTCGCAAACCGCGTACCTATGCAAGTGTTGGCCTGATGTGGGGCTAGGTTTGTTGTACACCACGGTGCGATTATTGTGGACGTTTGCGACGAGGTTTGCGTCGTTGGAGAGTATGTTGAACAAATCGACTATTCGGATTACAAAGGGCTTCCTCCACGATGTCAGTGCAGGTTTTCTTCAAAAACCCATGCAACGCCAAACGTTGAAAGCAAATTCGTTCCTGTCATGTCCGCTGGTGGATGATTTTCCGACCATGGTTGAGCTTCGAAAAGCCTTCTCGGCTGCTCTAGGTCTCGAATGTGTCGCCGTCCCACCAAACACGAGCTACGGTTGAAACGCACTGATAAGGGTTGTTGCATAGGTTAGAATCGAAATCAACCTACCCGGGTTTAGCATCTATCATCACCCTGTGTAGAGTCATGATCGTTTTCTTGACGGAGGGGTTCCGGAATGTCTTCAAGCTAACCCACAGGATATAAGGCACGATTGCATACGTCAGCACACCATACCTTGTCCAGAGCTTGGCTGTGTACATGGAGCGCTTCGATTGGTAGACATTTACAGTTGGACCGCCGTCCGATTGGTTTCCGGCAATATTTTCTGTCTTACATCCAACCTTCCCCGTCTGCTCAGGATTCAATGCCGGCCCCGCTCGTAACAAACACATGCATTTCAGCCATACCACCCGAACGATGGCACGATACACAAACACACCTCCTACGTAGTCTACATCCTGCATGTGGCTCGTCCCTTAGGCAAGCAGGCAGCGTGTGAACCCGGGTGGAGGTGTGTCCAACGTTCTCGGAAGGTGGAACGCTGACTCCCAGATATCATGGGACGACAGCATACGAACACACAGATAGCCCGCTCTGTCATGCTCGGCTCTACAGCGACATAGACTACACCAATGGCGGCTTTCCACTCGCTCAACACTCACGGGCGTCATGTCAAGAAAACGTGGTCAATCCACTACTGCTGCAGACGACGACTCCTTGAAACAACTGTACAACGCCGTGACAGACACACTCCCAGCCTGCACTATGCATCGAACCCCTTTCTCCTCCGAACAAACGATACGTACACTGCAAACTACCCAACAACAGCCCGATGCAAATGAAGTATAACACACGGAGCGCAAAACCGCACCACACGAGGCCCGAGAGTAGCCACGGGTTTTCCGGTGTCCACTCCTTTCGTTTTCGAGATATGATGGGTGCCCAAGGGCTCACACCATGTCCCGTGATATGACCAAGCGAATCATCAAACCACCACAGGCGACGTACGCGCTCAAATGCCAGAACAATATATCTCCTAGTTGCGGCCCTCGCACCGAACAATACGGTGCGCGTCCAGCGTTCGGCAGCAATATTTAGGCAGAGCTACAGTAAGGTCGCTTGCAAAAAGACCGGTTTCATCGCCTACTCAATCTCTCGAAGGCTAAGATAGCCTCATTCTCGAACAGAATTCGGCACCAACCCACCCCACAAGTCAGGAAAATGAAAAAAAAACGGGTCAAAACAAACGTGAAAACAAAATCTCGAACAGGAAACAAATATTTCCCCAACCCGAAACTCGATGCTGTCCAAACTGCTTCACAAAATAGGACACAGGAAAACTCTCATTCGTGCCACAGGTGATGAAGAGAAAAGTAGCGAAATGTAGAAGGCCTGACCTACGGCACTTACTCTACGAGCCATACTTTTCTGGCGTCCACTCCGTTCGGTTTTCAAGAAACATGTGCCATGTTAGTAAATGTCTTGCCCTCTCTTGTTCGCCAGCGTTCCCGCAACGGTTCCTCCCTTCCAGCCATGCCGGGTGATCCCATCGATCAATACTCCATCTACCAAGCGTGTTTCCTCGTCCCATCCCGTCCCCTCCCATCCTCCACCCCGTTGTATCCCGTTCCACTCTGTCCAAGTCCGTCGCCCCATCCACCATCATAATGTTTACATATGACAGTTGCCCTACCCCGGCTAGCCGAAAACGGCACGAAGTCATTATCTGATCCTTTCCCATGCCATCAACCCGGAATACCCCAGCTTTCTGTCCCAATACCACAGGGTAGAACACACATTCGTGCGACACACCTACCGTCAGATAGCTGACCTGATGACTCGGCGTGGCTTCCCAACAAAACAAAACCTCCCTTCGGCGTGGTAATTTGTCGGGCGAGGTTGAGAAGAGCACGACGGTTGTCGGTGGTGTTACATCATCACACACAACATGTGTCAAACGCATTCTGTCCCGCAAACCACACCAATTATGTGAACACAAGCCATCGCCCACATCGCCTATCGTCAGGCAGATTCGATACTGGATTGTCCTGCTGGACCTCCGTTAAGAATGACTTGCGGCCAGCCGTACCGATCAATATCGTATCTACCAAGCGTCTTTCCAAGTCCTCCCATCCCGTCTCGTCTCATCTCGTCCCATTCCATCCCAGCCCTTCCAATCCCATCCAGCCTCACCATGCATGCTCACGAGATCGGCACTACCCATCTAGATCAAAGGCGCTGACTCGTGCATCCGGTGCTGTCCAATTTCATCAACCAGAAACATCGCGGCATCTCGTCCTTCCCATCCCTCTCCATCTCATCCCCATCCGTCTGATCATGAACGCATACGGCGTCCTTCCTGCACAGTCTAGCCTACCACCCTGCGGACATATCCATCTGATCCTATCCCATACCATCAACCAGAAATATCCCAGCTTCACGTCCCAATCCGATCGGGTATACAAAGCAAATGTGGGCCAGCCCTACCGTCAGATAGCTGACCTATTGACTCGGTGCGGCCCCCCCAACAAAATAAAACCTCCCTTCGGCGTGGTGAGCTGTCGGGTGAGGATGGGACGAGCATGACCGGTTGTCGGTGGTGTTACGTCATCACACGTTACACGTGTCAAATACAATCTGGCCCGCAAATCACATCAATTATCGCACAACAAGCCATCGGTCGCTCCTGATCGCCTATCGTCAGACAGATTTGATACTGGATTGTCCCGCTGGACCTCCATTGAGAATTACTCGCGGTCAGTCGTACCGATCAATATCGTATCTGCCAAGCTTCTTTCCAAGTTCCGTCTCATGTCGTCTCATCTCATTCCTTCCCATCCCGTCCCATTCCATCCCAGTCCTTCCCACCCCATCCAGCCTCGTCTTGCATGCTCACGAGATCGGTAATGCCTAGCCTAGCCAAGACAACGCCGACTCGTGCATCCGGTGCTGTCCATTTCCATCAACCAGAAACATCGCGGCATCTCGTCCTTCCCATCCTTCTCCATCTAATCCCAATCCGTCTGATCATGATCGCATACGGCGTCCTTCCTGCACAGTCTAGCCTACCAC